TAACGGAAGTTATTGCATTGTTCTTCTTTCCTTTATTTAACGTCGGTCTCTATTCCGCAATCTATTTAGTGCCAATCACCGACGGACATCGATTGCCATCCATTGACGGCAATCGAATGTGCAGGAAGGCAGCTTCCACACCTGCGTAGGATATCGCACCCATTAACAACACACATGGGCCGGGACCAACGGCTTTACTTCCCTTCCGAAGGAAGACGTGACCAGAGATTTTTATGCCTCAGAAAAATCCCACCGACCTCGGCTGGGATTGAACCCAGACCCATTGGGGTGTTAGAAAGCAGTCACGCTTACCACTACACCACCGGCGCCGGAATTATTGCATTGTTCTAGTTGATTGATTATTGCAACGAAGTCTCCCTTCGTTATGTATGTATGTATGTATGTAAGGTAGCCACCATCCCTTCGAAGATCTTGTCTTGTATGCAGCTCCACTTAATAGCAAGATCAATTTGAGCTACCGATCTGAATTCACAATATCACTGTATGAAGGGCCAAAAACTTACGCGAAATCCACGGGAATTTAAGAATCTCCTTCCAACGATACGAACCAACAAATTGAATAACGCAATTCGCAATACTTATTAAGCTTCCTACAGGATGGTTTGTTAAGAAGGGCGCGTCAATCTCCATGAAACTGTTGGAGTAGAATTCACACCATCACAATCGAATCGGTAGGATAAAGAAAATGATAGTGTTTATTCCCTCCTAGACTCCGGTTGTCATACCACTCCAATCGTCCAGTTCCAGGTCAAATGATACCCTGATGCTCCCTCCCAACCCAGTATTTATTTATATAATGAAAATATATGCAATGGAGAAATGAAATATATCAGAACATTAAAATATGACACAATGAAATACATTTATATGGATAATATAGTTGCTACTGCAATGAAGAAGTATTTTACATATAATAAGATGCAGCTCTATATCTCCTCAGCTCCCAATAAGGAAATAAGCAAATAAATATTTTTAGCTAGAATGATACTTGATATTTTTGTGTTGTGTTATGTTGTGGGAGAGCTAGGGATTAAACCCATGCTCATTAAGCGAAACCGATCCCTCTAAGGTTATCGAGCATCTCAAAACCAAAACACTCCACGGCAAAACATGATTAAGCCCTCACCTGGTAATAAACAACAGAAATACACGATAATTCATATAGTTTCAGCATATGATGCAATATCACAACTGTTGATAAAAAGGAACGGATCCCATCTTATTTAAGACCTGGATGACCTGAAATGTGTGTTACCGGGTTAATACTTATTTAAATGTAATATAATATTGAAAAAGCGTTATAATGCCATGTAACAAGATACAATAAACACAAGATTTTTACAAACAGATAATGAACGATTCAGATTTTTTTTTCAAGCTGGCACTATGCTTCCCTGGAGCCGCTCATAATAGTGAACATTAAGAATTAAGTATAATAAAATGTAATTTATAATAATATTAAATGATGTAAAGTCAATAATGAAAGATATGTAGTACTATAAACACTATACATATAAGATAACCAATAGCTAGCTTAGCTTAGATTGACTGCTCATATCAATGGTTGCTACTCCGTGATTGATCAGAATCAGTGAAATTGTACAATGAATCAACTGAATGGGGCTGGGAGTGACCGTCCATTCTTATTGTACAAGTTTCAGTGACTATATTTTGTAGATCAATAACGGCACCGGCCCCGTCCTTGCAATCAGGTGGGAGTAGGGAAGGAATATTAGAGTGACCTTTGTTGTTTGTGGGCCGTGTTTACCTCTGCACTCCAACAAAAGACACAGAAAAGGAGATTTTTAGTAAGTTGGGTTCGTTTGATCAGGATTCACCTTGATAAGTGATGCGACCATGGTTTTAAATGAATCAGTGTTATCATCGAGGGGGGCGACACATCTAAATCTCAATTCAAGATGCTCAAAAAATCTCACACTAGCGAATCAAGCTTCGAAAAATCATCTTTCATTTCTCGCATCTACTTGCATCGTGCTTGATCTTTTGTCAGGAAATCTTCAAAATCGGCATAAATCTTTCTTCTATCTACTCAGCGTGCGTGCAGCTAGCCACAGCAAAACACAATCTTTTCTGCATCGTAGATAGAGTCGTCCCCCTCGGTTATCATGCATTATACTTGGATTTGCCCGAAGCTAAAACCAAATGGTGTATCATTGGGCCTTATTTTGGGTGTCACTACACGGTGATAAGCAAGTGATACTCAGAATAAGAGCCGTGATTACCGAACAAATCAAATGGGAATCACTTCACCGTGACGACAAGTGACAACTTTTCACCGTGATGTGACACCCGTAATAAGCCCCATTATAATATAAATCTGAAGACGTTCCATCATCGAAATGCTGAAAATAAACTTAGAGCATGAGCATGAGCAAAATTGATCGCCCGCGACTGCCAACACCAAAGAGCTGAAAACCAATTCAAACAAATCAAATCAACAGACAAAACTAGGGTGAAAGCTGTAAGAGTGAATCATTACAGTATAAATCTATCGTCATCAAAGAGCTGGAAGAAAACTTAAATAATTTAAATTAATAGATCCAGTCTGAATGAAGGCTGCAAAAAGAGAATAATTATACAGCGATGACCCCATTTTGTCAGCTAGCAAAGTATGTGTATCTTAAACATTCATCTTGAAGGAGGAAGGTATGAAATAACAATTATGTGGAATTATTGAAAAATAACAGTCTGATGCGCGGAGAGATTGACAGGATCGGGTCATAACTGTAATGTGAATATTAGGAAGTTTTATCATCATCAAACTATTCTTGAATTGACCTGGAAGAATGCTTGTGAATAATTGTTATACAGATAAATTAAATTGATAAACAAAATGGTTCAAACAACAACTCCAGCCTGTAGAAAAGCTGAAAATAGGGAATCTTTACAATGTGGATCCCCCACGGTCTTCTACTCAGTAAGCAAAAGCGGCAGCCACCAGGCTGGTCGAGCTGCTCAATTTAAATATTGAAACCTTATTTTGTGAAGTTCTTAAGAATACCGATTGAAACACAATGTAAACAAATAAAAGTTAAGAGTCTCATCCGAATCAAATGATTCCAGACGATACGCATTCATAGAAATTAAGTTTAAATAGACAAAAGTAGTAAAAAGGAACAATCTCACCAAATCAAGTCTCCCTTCGTTATTTGACAAAAACTCGCACAGGTAGTAATGCGGCTAATATTTACGAAGCAGCTATTTTCAACTATGAACAGTTCATTATTTGACAATTTCTTACATTATATGTATGCGGAAATGTTGAGCCCCCTGCTATATTAGACTTTATTTATCTGTTTAAATTTTACGATGTACAAAAATAAAATTTAATATACTAATAAAACTTAAAAGATTGTTTTTATGTGTCCCACTCATGAATTTTTGCAATGTAATCAACAAATGATATCTATGTGTCGGACACATACTTAATACAACAATCAATACGAAACTAACGATTTTAAATTGGCTCACCACTTTAGTAGCCTATTGGTCCCAAGCAAACGATTAACGTACCCTATTCTAGTTGAAATTCTATTACTACACTATGTTTGTTTTGATTCGCTATGAAAGTTTGACAGATAACATCAGGGGTGTATGGATTCATGCAGAACATGCAGGGGTGAGTGAAATAGCTTGGGACTGCTTGGGACCGTTGTTCTGGTACTGAGTGAGCCAAAAATAATAATGATTTTCTTCGGGACCCAGTGGTCTTAGAGTTACCTCTATGCTTAATATGCGTACACATAAAAGCCATGTGTAACTACACATACAATTCATTTGACTCTTAACTTTCATGTGCGCTTCTGGGTTGATTCTGTTTATGTGTGGTCACATGAAAATCATGGAAATTCGTCAATAAAAATGTGTGGAAGTGAAGAATTAATCTAATAATTCCCGACCAACCATTTCGTTAATTTTCTTTATTTTTCTATACGTCGATCTTCAAAGCCATTCATAAGATAAATCGATAGCGATCGTTACCATTTCATGAATAATTGTAAAGATGATAAAAGTCTAATAGTGAATCGTTTATAATGATCTTTCTCAAAATATTGCTACCAATCGTTACCAATGTTAAAATATCGATTGTGTTGCCAGATCAAAATATCGATACTGATTTCGTTGTTGGTTGCTAATCCTCGGGTCCACGGCTGCTGTTGATGAGCTTATCAATGACAGGCAAACACACTCTAGTATGTGTTGTATTGAAATTTCTGCAATAATGTTCATACATGAATTCAATATTTATATAAATTTATTTGTCATAACCATCAACCAGTCAGCCATGTAGGTGTAATAGAGGTCAAAAAGGTATCAATTTTCCTCATTGGGTTCCAAATGCCGAGAATTCCACCACGCATGCTATCACGGGTTATTAAATATATAGACGTAAACTTGAAGAACTACAATGGTAAACATTTGCTGCGTCGCGGCCATCGGTCTTCTCGTTCATTTACCGGCAGATTGCTTCTTCCGATGAAATGCCGAATATGTTGATAAATAATATATACATTGCCATCTGTCACCTGGTGTGTCTCGAACTCTTTTTAACCAGCGATGCAAATCGATAACAAGGAGATTATAAATGTGCATCGACGGCAATCTTTGTTGTTCTTTGTCAAAGTTCAAAGTTACGATGATATCAGTATTTAAATATTTATTGATGAATATTAATTGTAAAGAATATTAAAGTCCATGTGACGTATCGAAATTAAAAGAAATTTAGTTTGGCACCTTTAAAGATTACTATCATATGACCGATGAAGAAAATAATCTTAAATGTAAGTATCGATCAATCAAGATTTTTAAATCTTAAATACTTCCAACACTGCCAAAGAAATGCAACATACGTAGCAAAATGTTTGTGTCAGTGTTCATGTTCGTTCGTCGTTCGTCATATCAGTGCTGATTGTTAAGTCATAGCTGTTTACGTAAAGACGCATTTGTGCTCCTTTATATCCTTTTGCCTATCCTTGTCCCTTATTGCCTTAAGAGTATAAAACTTTCAACAATGGCCCGTCAAGTTACGAAGCTTGGTTATTTGGACATCAAAAAAACTCTTTTTATGCTGTGTGATCTGCAGGACAAATTCCGACCGGGTATGAAAATGTTCGACCCTGTTGTTAAAAATACCAGCAAATTGGTAAGTATTATAATTTTAGTGCAGTGATATTAGCTATTTTAATAGTTTACAATCAAGTTATTGCGCTATAAGTGATTCAAAATATTCGCCGGCTAAGGGGTGAAGGTCAATTTTATTTACCCTGCCCAGTAATATTTAGCCAAGACTCACACCAGCACTCTTTGATGGTGGTGTAAAGCTAGTACATTATGTTCAATATTCATACTGTTAATGTCCTACTCCCAGCATTTAAAATATTCAGTGTGAATATTCATCTGTACGATCAAAGGAAATTACTTGTAGTTCCATAAATTCCCTTTTTACAAACATGGGAAGGTCTATTAATTATGTCACGCAAATTTGGCCCATTTTGAAACCCACCCACCTCCCCCCTTTGTCACATTTTTTGTATGGACCTTATTTTTGTTTTGTATGACTCGTCACAATTTCCAATACTCCCCTCCCTCTGTGTGTGTGTTTTATAGAAATGGACACATTGTATACAAACATACAACACGTATACGACACAACCACAATATGAAATCAATCCGATTCCAGAAAATCCTACTAGATTTTGGCAAATAACTACTATGGGAAATGGATGTAATGTCGGCCTAAATGCCCCTAATTTGGGCCCATACATAAATTCAGTAATCGACTAAGTTTTTAATAGAGACCAGAAATATTCATTACTAACGTCCCAATGACGCGTTCATCTAGATAAAATTGATAAATATCAGATTTTTAGCGATGGCCCAATCTTAGATCCATAGGCCAACATTAGAGCCATTTCCCCTATGATGTATAAAGATAAACAATAAATTATTCTTATATGCTACATTTTCTAATTGCAACCAAGCAAAAGATTGAAATTTCTTTCTAATGTTATTATTTTAGCTTCAAGCTGGTAAATTGATGGACGTACCACTTATTGTGACTGAACATTATCCGGAGAAATTGGGTAAAATCGACAAGGATTTGGACATCAGGCACGCAAAAGGCATTTTCCCTAAGACTCTTTTCAGCATGATGATACCCGAAGTTCAGAATAAAATAAAAGAACTATTCCCCAATAACTTGGAAACCGTCGTCCTCTTTGGATTAGAATCGCACATTTGTCTGGAACAAACCGCAATGGACCTACTGAACAATGGATACACTGTACATGTTGCAGCAGACTGCTCGTTGTCCCGGACTCAGGAAGATCGCAAGCTAGCACTGGAAAGACTGCAGCAATATGGATGCTTTGTGACCACGAGTGAAAATATAATTTTCAAGCTCATGAAGGATAAAAAACACCCAGCATTTGATAAGGTTAAAGGATTAGTGCGTGACCCATCTGTAGACACTGGATTGTCTAAGCTCTAAATGTAGCAGAAATCAAATTTCAGTTGATCAGGGTATCTAATTGTGCATTTAAATTATGTTTGGCTGCATTGGGCAAAAGCATTATTAAAAATATCAAAACTACAATAAATAAATATGTTTTATCTTATATCTGCAGACGTGTTTGTACCACAAACTTGTTGTTTAACATCTATCTCTTAATTAAGGAGTAACAGCCATTATATACTTCATTACTCTGGAAATTTTGCAGCATAAATCGTGTATCGGTATTTGTTTATTTGCAGTATATAATCAAGAATTTTCGAATACAATCACCGCTCTATACATCAATATCAAAGGGATTATCGAGATAGTAACATTCAGAACAGTATTTAATAAGCCTCTTAATGCGATTCTAGAAGCACTTCAGGCTCAAAAAGTTTAATTTTTTATCTCGTATCCATAACATAACTCAATCACTTACTGCAAACGTGAAAAATGACTACTGGATATATATTGATCTATTTTAATAGGGTTTAATGTCCCTAATGTCGGTCTACGTGTCTTTAATATTAAGCCCCCTTAAAAAAGAGGGCAGTTCTTTTACCTTAACTACTAAAGAAACCTTGAAAGTAATGATGCAATCTCATTTCCCAGGGTCTTTGCCTACTACTTCCACTTTATCTGTTGTAAATTTCGCTAGAGGTTATCATGACTCAGTAAATGGATCAAGACAGTCCAATGAAGAGGTAAAAAATCTAGCTAGTGTAATTTTTACTACATAATTCTAAAGTTGCATGGGCTATATACTCTTTTGAACCATTCAAATCTCCAGGTTTGGATGGAATTTATCCAATTTTAATGCTCTTTGGATTAGTAAAAGGACGTTTGGTAAGGAATGGGGACTCAAACCTAAAATGTTACATTGGATTTATTCGGCTATAGTAAAACCAAGAATAATCTATGGATCACTAGTTTGGTGGCCAAAAACAGTGCAGCTCAACAAAGACTTGAAAAACTGGAGCAATGCGCAGTACTTCATCTAAAGCCTCAGAAGCTTTGCTTAATCTTCTTCCTTTACATCAATTCATTCAACTGGATGTAATGAAGAATGTTCTCAGACTCAGACGAACAAAACAGCTCTTTGAAGGAGATCTTAAAAATCATATGAGCATTTTGAAAGAGATTCAATTAAGTCCACTAATATTAAAGAATAAAGATGTTATGGCAAAAACACATGAATTCAACCATCTATTTAATGTACAACACGCAACGACTGGGAGACCGTTGATTCGTCCTGGGTCTATAACATTCTACACGGATGGCTCCAAACAGGATAACAGGGTAGGGGCAGGAATAACAGGTCCCGTAATTAACTGTTCTGTAGCAATGGGTAAATGGCCAACAGTATTCCAAGCAGAGATATTTGCGATCCTAGAATGTGTAGAAATATGTTTAAAAAGAAATTATAGGAATGCAAATATATGCATTTTTTCGGAAAGTCAAGCAGCATTGAATGCCCTTAAATCAATGATCTACACTTCAAAGTTATAATCAGCTTCAGAAATTGTCCTGTCGTAGCAAGGTAAATCTATATTGGGTTCCTGGTCATTGCGGCATTGAAAGAAATAAAAAAGCTGATCAATTAGCAAAGCTTGGCTCATCCCAGCAATTTGTTGGTCCCGAACCGTTTATTGGTCTATCGCCTTCTAATCCGAAAATGGAATTAAAGACCTGGGAAAAAAGCATGGTACAATCCAATTGGAATAATACCTCAACAGCCTGGCAATCTAAACGATTCATTAAGCCCAACGTTTTGAGTACGTAAAGGTTACTCAGTCTTTCCAAAAAGATTTAAGCACCTACACTGGATTAATAACAGGACATTGTGCTAGTAAATATCATTTAAAAAAATTGGAAAGCTTAGCGACGATAGATGTCGCTTTTGTAATTTGATGAGTGAAAGCTCTGAACATTTACTTTGTGATTGCGCTGCACTATTTAATAAACGATGCAGTTTCTTGAAAAAGAGCTCACCGTACCTGGAGAAATTTGGACCAGTATACCCAATAAAGTTATAAACTTCATTCGAAGTGCAATTCCATATTGGGATAATGCCGATGATCAATGATGTAGACCACTCTTTGGGGTTGATCATCAAAACACACGGTAAACAGTAAAAAGAGGATACACCACAATAGATCAAAACACTGGTCGCAGTGGTAAAAAGCCCCCACATAAATTTCGAAGGAAAGCATTTTTTTGCCATTTTATCATAGCCAACCAAAAATATTCATTTGTATTGTCCCGATGAAACAAAGTTCAAAACAAAATTGAAGAGGAGATTTTTATCGATAGGCCCAATCTTCAGATCCACAGGCCAACATTATGGTCATTTCTCCTATATCCCGTGTCCTTAGTTGTGTACACTGGAGTCACTTTTTACGCGGGTGATACGTCCCGCGTAAAAAAAAACCGCGTAAAAAAAACCGCTTAAAAAAAACTGCGTAAATTCCGAAATCCGCGTAAAAAAAACCGCGTAAATTCCGAAATCCGCGTAAAAAAAAAACCACGTAAAAAACGACCGTGTAAGAAAAAAACCGCGTAAAAAGCGATATACCGCGTCAATTCTGAAATCCGCGTAAAAAAAACCAAAATCCGCGTAAAAAAAACCGCGTAAATTCCGGAATCCGCGTAAAAAAAAAACCGCGTAAATTCCGAAATCCGCGTAAAAAAACCGCCTAAAAAAAAACCGCGTAAAAAGCGACTCCAGTGTATGTCGTATTACTCCATCACTCTAGGTATTACTCCCGTCTACACTGAAACAAATCGACATGTACCGTTTATTGGATCCATCTTATAACATAGCAATGTCAGTAGATTTATTCATTCTATGTGATGATTGATAGATTCCATTGGATTATCACTTAAAAACTATGACTGCGATATGGAATGATTTCTATCGTAATTTCACATACTTAGTACTTGATAATACTTTGCTTCGAACGTGGTAAGCGAAGGTAAGAAGTATATGAATATTGTCTGATATATTTCATGGTGAAAAACTGTTGATATGTCATGGGTGGGAACAGACATCTAGAAACTAATGGAAAATCATATAAGTTTGCACTATGAGAAAATTCAGTAAAATATACCTGTTTTCATGATGAATATTGCTCACTAAAATATATATCTTATAAGATAATCATGTATATTTTATTGGAGTTGCTTTTACTGATTTTTGACGTTTGTTGATATGTCGCGTGTAAATAGACATGTAGAAACTATTGGACTGTCATTTAACTTTGCAGTATAGGAAAACATGTATATCTCATTGGAATAGCTTCCTTTGAGTTTTGAGGTTTAAAGATTGTAAGCAAATCTAACCCAATCATTTTATAGTCATATAGATTTGCCTTTTAAGAAATCCAACAGCAAATATTTGTTTTGGCATGGTTTTCCGGGATGAATATCGCTCCCAATAAAATACATCTTACATGATTGTTCTTTATAAATTATTGAAACAATTTTCAACGATGTTAACGTACACTCATTAAAATGATTAGTTGAACTAAATACTACTAACAACAACGAGGGGGACGACTCTATCTACGATGCAAAAAAGATTGTGTTTTGCTGTGGCTAGCTGCGCGCACGCTGAGTAGATAGAAAGAAGATTGATGACGATTCTGAAGATTTCCTGCAAAAAATTGATGAACGATGCAAGTAGATGCGACAAATGAAAGAAGATTGTTCGAAGATTGATTCGCTAGTGTGAAATTTGTTGACCATCTAAACTTGAGATTTAGATGTGTCGCCCCCCTCGAACAACAATGATACTGTATTGAATAATCTTTGTTTGTTATTGTTTCATATGATAATTGGTTCCAGAAAAGAATGTATTGAGATTGAAAAAAAAAATGATTCTACTGTAATATTTACTTTGCTATGATTCTAATTGTAAGCCTTCTACACGGCTAATTCAGATTCCAGCCCTAAGTAGTACTCGAACTTCATGAGCTAGTTCTATCAAATCATATAATTTAGTCGTTGATTTATTGTACGCAGGTGCATGAAGAAAGATTTGAACAAACCACACCACCGAAACGGAACAGTGCTATTTGTGTTCACTCTAGCAGAACGAGCATAAAGTTGCACTACATTCCATGTCGGGAGAGCTGTTCTTACTTCATGCTATTTGAACGAGCTCAATCTTGAAGTCAGCCGTGGCCCAGTGGAATCGAGCACAGACACCGAAAGCATCACACCTCAACAGTTCTTGATCGAATCCCAAATCAGCTACAATAAAAAAAGGCACAACTGTGAAAGCTCCCACTGCCTGATGTTTATTTTTTCGAATTTATTTTTAGAAATCGATTAAATATATGTGTCAAAAGAAGAAGTAAATTTCATGTTATTTTCACATAAACTTTACTTCGATTGATTTATGACACATATATTATATTGTGGTGAAAAGTATAGCTTATGCTTATGGGTTTCAAATCCATTTCAGTTAATTATTATAATTTGATCGATTTTCATTTATCATATGACGATCATATAAAAGTTACCAAATTATCAGCATTGTAAATGTATCAGATATTCATATAGAATTTACCTGACACATTTTCAATCATATCATTTTCAATGGATTATCTTATAGCGCAAATTTATTAGACTTCCACATAACAGGAATATGTCAAATTCGTTCAGTGTATAGGTTCCCGCTATTTATCGAAAAGAGAACATCCGTCAAAGGCGCGTCTCTAGTAAGTTAAAATCGGATTCTTGACTAGGGTCCTAATGCATGGTGGTTTTGTTAATAAACTAGGGAACAACGAATAGAAGATTAGGAATCAAATATACAAACTAAGATTATTTTAATCTGTGAAATTTTACCGAAATCTCAACAGCTCAACGTTTGGTAAACAGTTTGGTGATTTTTCACAGTTTTCCTGTACATTTTCAACGAGTATCTGTGAAAAATCACAGAAAACCTGTGAAAAATCACCGAACTGTTAACCGAACGTTCAGCCACAGACAAACAGACGTAACTCTTCATTGTGTATCTTCGTGCACGCATTTAACGGTTGATTTTAATATTATGAG